ATATATATATAATTTTTACGTTTTAGTGCGTTTACATATATATTGAGTAATTTTTAACATTATTTAATTAAATATTAATAAACGATCTCGTTCTTACGATCGCTGATTATCGACGTTGACCGGTCAATGTCCGCCCGGGCTGAGCTTCAATGCTGGGTCCGCCACTGTTCAGCACCATTAAAGACCATCCATTGGGACCATTACTTCAACTCAAAATCTATATCCCACCTGAGGGCCCAAAACAGAAAAGTTAACTTTTCTTTTGTTTTTCCTTTTCTCCTTTCTTTGGTCTTGAATCATAGAAAAAGAAACAGATACGAGTTTCTCTTTGATTGCACATAATTTAAGCCTCAAGTAACATGGAAAGCCCAACACAATCCCTCGAACCCTTCCAGTCCTAATTACAGTATCTTTCTCCAGGAAGCCCACTTTTCCAGTAAGTATGAAAGGGATTCTTTTTTCTTTCTGCTAAGTTTCTTTGACAGTTTCTTGCCCATTCTTTTACAAGGAGTATTCTTTTTTGCCAAAATATATTCAAATGTGGAGGTGAATACATGATGTGCAGAAAAAAATGGTAATCAATATCTACATTTCAATCATAAAACAGAATCAAACAGCTGCACAAGTAAAATTCGGGTCTTGAAGCAAATTATTGTGACTACTGGAAGCTGAACCTAAACTTGGATTGAAAAAACTTGTGCAACATAACAATCCAAACATTGTAAAACCACAAAAAAGCCTTATCCCATGATACCAGAGGTCATCAACAGATTTCATTCTCTTCCATTCAACTGTGCTAAAAGTCATTGCCTTAGAATCCCACAATGGTCAAACCATATTCAGAACCTCATTTCAGTTCCTCTCATCTTCCTCTTCCTCGGGCTCTATAAATAGAATTAAGAAAATCCAGTACCTAACATTTGAAAATAAACTAAAAGACAAAAAGACCGTCAAATTATTTCGTATCATCTATGTTACTTACAACACTTAACAATTTCAGTAAGCTTTCAAATTTTTAACCAAGGTTCAGTATTTATTTTCTCTTCACTAAATAAACTCAGTTGATGCCCTATATAACTAGGACCAGACAACTCAAGCCTAATGGAGGACAAAATTATATGCTTATTGCGTTCAAGTATTAAATGCTTAGTGTTTTCAAGTTTTCAAATGCATTTTATAAGCTAAACCCCAATTACATACAGATGCAAAGAAGACTGACAAGTTATCATAATATAGTTTGCACTTTGTACCTTTACTTAGGCACTGACGTGAACTTTGATCATCCCCGGTTTCACTGCATTAACTACTAAACAAGTGAAGTCTACTCAAATTGCTTTGTCAATTGATGGAGTTCTCCTCAGATCAGGGCCTGGCATGAGCCCAATAATTGTAATTTTGTGTTTGTTGCCAAAATCATGGCCAACATTGTAGACCCATATAAAAGTAAAAGACCCAATTCTTAATCATTTTTAACAAAATTTCCCCTGGTAAACTCGGAAGGGAAATTTACTTAGATCATTCACCAAAATTCGAATCTCCAATCTATTCAAATAGGAAACCAAAAACTTTTTTTACCCAGGGATCAACGTATTACAGACCCTCTTTGATCTACTAAATCAATCACACAGAGTCCACTGACTTATACATGAGGATATCTGATATCATCTCATAAACTCAATCACGACTAAAGATTCATATAATAAGAAAAACTCACACGATAAAAAATTCAAGTTGCGAAGCATATATAGTACCTGGACGTTCCCGGGTCTTCAGTGCTGAGAGGGGCATATGAGCGATTGGGATTAAGCAACGACGTCGTCGACAGCTCTATCACGGGTCCTCCAGCGGAACTCGACGGCGGCGAACCCGACGGAGCCCGGACGCTCTTTAATGCGTCTCTGTACTTCTTATACAAGATCGTCCGATTCCTCGTCGCCATTGAAAACGAAAAAAACAACAAACTTGACCACGAATAACGACTTCAATTCAAAATCAATTACGATACGAATGAGATCTGTAGTTGTGCGGATCAGTATATTTCTTGTTCACTTTCGGGTTCGGGATCGGAAATGGCTCCGGTGAGAAGTTGGAATCGGGTTGAATTTTCGGACCGAGTCGAATTTCTCAGTAATTTCAACAATTCTACTCGACGGTATGGAACTCTTGAATGAATTTGTGCGTTTTTTGTTTGGTGGGGTGGGGTCAGAAGGGACCCACTTTTAGTCCTTATGTGGNTGAATTTGTGCGTTTTTTGTTTGGTGGGGTGGGGTCAGAAGGGACCCACTTTTAGTCCTCATGTGGGACTGGGAGTTATGGAAAGTGGGCCCTTCTATTTTTAAATTGAAATTTTTTAACAAAACTAGTTTTACACCTGTTGACACACAAAATGTGCAGCCCAACTCAAATGGCTCAAAAAAGAAAATGGCCCAAGAGAAAAACTCATTTAGAGAGATTATGGTAAAAGTCCAACAAAAAATGTTATTAAATATGATGAAAGCCAAAAAACAAAGGTACATCGTCACCCAAGCCTGCAGAACGCTCAGATATTGAGCGAATGAAGTATCCTATAATCACCCAGAGCAGAAGACAAATTGTCGCCCAAAAATGCTGAGTCGCCCAGAATCCCAGCGATGACTAAAGCTTGTTGTTATCCAAAGTCACGATTTAAGGTGGTTTGAGCACATCACAATTACGTCCCACGATTTGAGAAAATTAGTGACAAAGACGTGGTGATAGGAGTTACACATGGTAGTTATTGGTCAGTCGACCATTATGAAAGAAATGAGTAGTTACAAACAGTTTCTAAACGATTAAAATTACCCAAGCCGTATAAAAGAATGAAGAAGACAACGAAGATGCCGGCAAAATTCACTCTCAAATAGAGAATATGTAATTTACTTTTTCTTAAATTAACTTTAATTATTTCAATTCCCTTGTACTTGTGTGCTTGCGCCCCTTGGAGGCATCTTGTTCGCGTCCAAACTGTAATCTTCATATTCAATAAACACCCCTTTTTGAGACTATGTTATACTTTTTCTTAAATTAACTTTAATTATTTCAATTCCCTTGTACTTGTGTGCTTGCGCCCCTTGGATGCATCTTGTTCGCGTCCAAACTGTAATCTTCATATTCAATAAACACCCCTTTCTGGAACTTTGTTTTAAGAGGTTTGTTCCTTACACAATCGTCTGATCCCTTTTTAATTGTTAGCGAGTAAACGAGCGAAACAATTTGGCACGCCCAGTGGGACGGTTTGTGTTTGAAGATGCAAAAGGAAAACATTATGCCTCATAAAAGTTCTGATAAGGCACCAGCAAGTCACGGAGTAGTCCAGTCTGTGATCGAGCGATACGAGGAGCAACAACATTCCCCTCAGACGGAAGGACAGACTCCAAGCAGTCACAGTCGTTATGAACCAATGACAAAGTTGAGTCCTCGAACCATGCGTGCATTGCTTGGAGAACTCACACAAGATGTCGTCGAACAGGTAAATTTACGAAACATCCAGAATATGGAAAATTTTACCCAGAATGGAAATGTTCACTATAATAACATGGCCAAA